TAATTACATATTTTAATATATTTACAATACTTCTCTTACAGTTTAGGCAGACTGTCAGAATTAGGCATTAGAAAAGCCGTCCTCCGTAATGAGGACAACAGAACACCATTATTTCTATTATATGTCGCAAAACTTTTCCTAATTAGGTATAGCAAATAAGGCTAAAATATTTGCCATCACATTGAGAAGCAGTGCTTGTGGAAGGAAAACATTTAATTGGGCAGCCCACGAAAAGCCTGCTGTCCCGGAAGTAGCCTCAGACGCGTTCTTGGCTGTCATTGGTTGAACAGAGCAGGCTGGGACGAGTTCAAAGTTACTGCTGTTTTTTTCTGTGGCTGCGCAACTTTTGATTCAAATGGCGTTTCCTGTCTTTCAAAACTACAATATACCGCCAGTATAACGTTCTAATTCTGCATAATCATAAAGTATCGTATTAAGTATTCGTATTCGCTTCGACAACCTTTAAATACCTAACATTCAGACTTCCTAAAGTACAACAAAATATTATATAATATCATGTGCATGAGATTTTGAACAACTAGACTGCTGACTTTATACACTGATCAGCAAACCTCGGTTCACTACAGCACAGTTCTCCTGTAATGCAGTCCATGTGTGGGCATCAGTTTAACGTTACTTCGGGACGAGGCCTACAACAAGGCCTTGTCATCGCAGCCGTTGTCTATAAAGTCTCCGTTCTGTTGAATTTAATGTAAACCTACCTGGAATTTATGAAAGAAAGCCTCCGGCCATAACACAAGGTACATAGGACTGATTAATCCCAGTTTTCCTATTAGCGGCACTGCAATTGAGCCAGCAAACCAGTAACGAGTGATGAAAGGGATGTTTTTAAACCAGTCCCCGATATCTGACATCTTGCCATATGATTAGAAAGCCTGGAGATTCTCTGTGGGTTCTCCGCCGATGCGGGTTAGGAAAGCGAGTCTGTGAACACAAGGCAGAAATGCGGCTTCAGTCTTCTAGTTTGGTTCGGTTACCCTGGTGTACGCACTCCTTCCCCGTTTGGTTTACATGACGTGGCCGCGTACAGACGCGTCCTTGTCGCGATTGTCCGTTAGATTTGACTGTCAAATTAACAGTCATGCAAAGAAATATGTTTTTTTCGAATTCGAATTCGAAAAAAAAATGTTTATTATCTAAACGCAGACATTTGAAAATGTAGTTTTTTAAATAATTGATATGGGTTGTATTCACATAATTTACCACAATTATGTGTAACGTAGTGAGAACTTTAAGACCGCGCAATGAAGTCGTTAGAAGTCTTTTATGTTGACGTCTCATTCGGGTTTGAAACCGGAAGCGGCTACTTCGTGGCGCTACTTTTGGTGAAGCGAAGGTTTCTTATCATTTTATGTGAGTATATTTAAAAAAAATATCGCAGATAAGTAGTTTAAATGTTTAAAAAAATAAAAATAAAAAACGAAAATGCTATAGCTTACCAATTAGATCTATAAGTTGTTAGTACATTTCGTTAAAGGGATAGTAATGTCATTATTTATAGTTCATCATTCTCAGTCACCATTCACTTATCTATATCTTTTCCCACTCAATAAAAGTGAATGGTGACCGAGGTTGTTATTCTTTATCATATCTTCTTGTGTTCCATTGAAGAAAGAAAGTAAGACACGTATTGAATAACACGAGGATGAAATAATAAAAAATATTATTATTATTATTTTATCTAGTAGACTATCCCTTTAAATGTTCTTTTCAAAGCACGTTTGCCAAACGAGTCAAAGCAGCACGTGAGTTTGTGGGTTGAGTTTATGCTTCCCCCCTCCAGCAGTCCTATAGCTTCCCGATATGTCTCTAAGTTCAGTGCAGTCCACCTTGTCCACTCTGAAGTCATGTCAGGCAGATATTGGAGCTTGTATGGACATGGTATCAGATGTTGCGCTGGGAATAGTTGAAGCACAAGGTGAGTGATTTCTGAAAGATCGTGTGACTTTGAAGACTGGAGTAATGGCTGCTGAAAATTCAGCTTTCTTTTGGACATACTTTTTTAAAATGTACTTTACCTTTGTCTTTTATTTCAGGTATGGATAACAGTCCAGCTCTGAAGAAGCTGGAGGAGATGATTCTGGAGTGCTCCAGACTGGACAGAGAAATCAATTGTTTCGTGGAGTCTGTTGATGAGAAGACTGCTCAGGTTTGTTTTATTGACTGTCACTGGTGCTTCATTTTGACCACCATTGAGCCACCGTGGCTTTCCCTCGTATGTCCTGTAGGTCAGACTTGAACCTCCCGAGGCCATGTTTCATCTGAGGAACTCTGTAAAGGAGCGTTTCACTGAGCTTACAGCTGGAGTTACAGATGCAGACCTGCAAAGGCACAGCAAGGTTGTTGCCTTCAGAGACAGTGTCAGGAAATATGCCATGCAAGGTGAGGAACTCACCACTTTTTGCAACACAGCATTCACAAAGGCCGCATGTTACAAGTGAAGTGATGCAGTTCCTAAATGTATATTTCTGCATATGTATATGCAGCAGGTCAAACTGCTGCTGAGAATGAAGAGGAGGAGTTGGATGAGGACATTGCTGTAACACAGAGCCAGACAAACTTCATCTGCCCTCTCACCCAGGTAAACCTCAGCACCATTTCACGTCATCACGTCAGTGCACAAGCCCTCGAGTTAAAAGTTCACATTTGTAGTGGTGTTTTTGTGTGTTATTTGAATTGCAAGAATAAGAAAAATATAGAAATGTCATATCATACAAACTTTTTTTACTGTACCTTGTTCTGACAGGTTGAGATGGTCAATCCAGTGAAAAACAAGAAATGCGGTCATCACTATGACCAAGAGGCTGTACTTGAAATGATTAAGGCTAAGCACAAAAATAAGAAGAAATTTCGGTATGTAGCCACTGCTCAATTCTGTCTTTGTTGTCCCAAATAAGTATACAGTTACTATGCATAATTCATTTCCATATGCTGCAACCAACAAATATCAACGTAAACTTTTATTTATTTACTTACTTTTTTTTGGAAGTGTTCTCTTTCTTTATATTTGAGCTTCATACACAGAATATACAGTTTGTACAGTATAAAAACCATTACACCTATGAAGAGTCCCTGTAAACCACATATGCCAATGTGTGTGTGTGTGTGTGTGTGTGTGTGTACTTAATGTACAGTATTTGTAAACATTTTAAGGAACACTGGATATTATTTAATGACATTTTCCCATTTTTTGTGACCTTATCTAAAGTGAAAACTATTCACTCTTTATTACCAATTAACAATTCCTTTACTATGAGCTGATTAAACAATAATAATTGTGTTAATTATGTATTTAATGAATGAAAAACTCACCATTTGTATAGTCGTCTAATGTATTAACTATTGTTTATAAACTATGAATTAAAGATGAACTAAGTTTAATCATTTTAAATACTTTATTAGTGTATACTTATAAAGTGTTACCACTGTTTTCTGTTTTAATTATTAGTCTTCAGTGTCACATGATCATTCAGAAATCATTCTAATATGCTGATTTTTTACTTACTTTCTTTATATTTGAGCTTCATACACAGAATATACAGTTTGTACAGTATAAAAACCATTACACCTATGAAGAGTCCCTGTAAACCACATATGCCAATGTGTGTGTGTGTGTGTGTGTGTGTGTGTACTTAATGTACAGTATTTGTAAACATTTTAAGGAACACTGGATATTATTTAATGACATTTTCCCATTTTTTGTGACCTTATCTAAAGTGAAAACTATTCACTCTTTATTACCAATTAACAATTCCTTTACTATGAGCTGATTAAACGATAATAATTGTGTTAATTATGTATTTAATGAATGAAAAACTCACCATTTGTATAGTCGTCTAATGTATTAACTATTGTTTATAAACTATGAATTAAAGATGAACTAAGTTTAATCATTTTAAATACTTTATTAGTGTATACTTATAAAGTGTTACCACTGTTTTCTGTTTTAATTATTAGTCTTCAGTGTCACATGATCATTCAGAAATCATTCTAATATGCTGATTTGCTGCTAAAAAAACATTTTAATGTTAAACTTATTTAATGTTATTTATTAAATCTTGAACCTATACCAGTGTTACATTTAATATCAATATTAACACTTTATCATTGTTAAAAACTGTTTTGCTGCTTAATATATTTGTGGAAGGCACCATTTCTTAAGTGAATATTAAGTTCAAAAGCATGTAGAAAGTTCTAAACATTTATTTGAAATAGATTTTTTTTGTAACATTGTAAAATTCTTTACTCTCACTTTTGATAACTCCAGAGCTTCCCATGCATTGAATTTTCATAATTTTGACAAACAGCATTTCATGGAGTGAATTATTGAAGATTAAATCATTGTAATTCTTACATTAACAAGTGGTAACATTGTAAAATTCTTTACTCTCACTTTTGATCATTTTAATGTATCCTTTGAACTGTAGTGTATAGAATAATATAACAGCCACTGTTGCCAAACTTTGTCATTCTTCACAGCTGTCCAAAGGTTGGCTGTGGAAACTCAGATGTTCAGCGGTCAGACCTCGAGTTGGACTTGCTTATGAAGAGAATGATTCAGAACCACAAGAGACAGAGTGGAAAAACCTAATTTGACTAAATCAGTCCTGCAGATGGTATAGTTGTTCTGTCTTTAATGGGAAAATGGTTTTGCCTGAATGTCGAAATGTAGAACTGGAGTTTTGTCAAATTTGGTTCATGTTATAGTTAATATATGACACATTTATAGTTCATGTTTGTAATACAAAAATAAAGGCACTATTCTTATCAATGCTGACATTTTTTATATTTACATTGTCATTTAGCAGACACCTTTATCAAAAGCGACTTACAAATGAGGACAATAAAAGCAGTCAAAACTAACAAAAGAGCAACAGTATATAAGTGCAAATGACAAGTCTCGGTTAGCCTAACGCAGTACACATAGCAAGGTATTTATATATTTACATTTACAAATGTATTTTTTTTAAATAAACCTTTGTACATTCGTTCTCATATCTCACTGTCAAACCTCAGATGAACTAAGCATTTTATCCTGCAATCCTTAGTCAAACAGAGTAAGTTCAACTCTAGCAATGAAAATAAAAATCTGCTTCTTTTCAAAACTCCATTCACAACCAAATATTTATTCAACATAATTGCACTGTTCAATCATCCATTAGAATCAGGCCATGAAATCAGCATGAGACATGAAAAACTCCACTGGGTATTAAAACCAGCTTAAATTGTACAGGTTTATTACAGTATCTGCACCAACCCCTTGACTGCCCCAAAAACCTTGTGTACAACAACTAATTAAAACAATACAAACATTGGAAATTCTTCCATGTGGAGAATTCAGTGACGCATTTTATGTCCAGGCACACAAAAAAATCAGTCTTGATTGGTTAGGCCCGGTCAATATTAAACCAGCATCCGAATTTGGCCCTAAGACCCTAACAGACAATTACAGGAAAAGGACCTCATGATCAAAATTCTCAGACGGTTCTGTGTGATTAGTTATATGAGACAAAGGGACACAGGCATCGACTTAAACAAACCATAATGTAACTCCAGAGCTTCCCATGCATTGAATTTTCATAATTTTGACAAACAGCATTTCATGGAGTGAATTATTGAAGATTAAATCATTGTAATTCTTACATTAACAAGTGAAAAAGAAAAAGAAAAGAAAAACACTCAAACCGCCCGACCACATTTTTTTTGTTTGTTCATAAATCAAAAAAATGGAGAGGGCGTAAGTCTTTTGCCCTTGAGAAAACCGCCTTATGGTTTTCGCCTTATACAACAACAATTTTGTCACAAAAGGCAAAAAGAAAAAAAAAAGAGCAAAGGCATATCCACATTATCTGACTGTATTTGAATGAATCATTGTGAATATGGATATATGCGTCCTTACAAAACACCTGTAATGTTACACGTACCAGACATATTTCTTTCACATGATGTGCATTTAAAAACAAACCTCATATGACTGTCTGTTTATCAGGTTACATTTAGATTGATGAGAGCTCTACTGGACAGTCCTGCGAGCTCTGTGTCCTTGTCCGTTCTTGTGAAGGTTCAACACGCTAATACTGGGAGTCTCTGAGTCCGTTTCAGTGTTGGTCCATGTCCCCATGTCTCTTTGCACCGGTCCAAGCATGGTGGAGGGTTGTAGCGGTTGAGATTCTTAAATCGCCATGGCCGTTCTATCCGATGGTGATGCCGAAGCCACATTGAAACTTGTTCTTGCGGTGGTTAAGGAAGGCTCCTAAAGCTAATGATAGAGGAAGGGGTACTAGCTTCTTTTCCAGCGTCGCTCCCACCACCCAGTTGCTATCTAAAGAACCTGAAGAGGAGAGGGAAGCTTAGCAACAGAACCAAACTGGAACAAGCATGAAAGTAGGTCTGCACGATTAATCGGAATAAAATCAAAATCGGCTGTTTTCAGAGCAAAGCACGGCACTGTGTTCTAACGCGTGAGCATTTCATTATCCTCTGGAGTTTGAGCGCCTCAGAGTGGCTCCATTCACAGTGCATGCTGCTCCATCTCTGTATCTGCTCTGAGTTTGGGTCATTTTAATATTAATTTGGGGACACAATATGCACCAACAATCTTGTCAACCAAACTTGTAATGCACTTATCAATCCCAAACCGGATCAATACCTGTAGCTTAAACGCTGACCAACAAAAGAAAGCTCTAATGGCTTTCTCTGGTTTTCCATCAGTATAAATGCTTGATGGTTTAACATTTGAAACTAAAGAGATTAAGACAGCCATAAATATAAGTGTTGTAATTTTACAGTTGAAATGTAAATAAAATAATTTTTATATTATACAATAATTTATAATACATATATATTTCTTAAGTACTGAGTGTTTTTTATTTTACAGTGAAGTGTCATAGTAATATTTGTTTTATTTAGTAATAATCATACTCTTAATATTAATAATAAATAATATTTTTCTTAAATATAGTCATGGCCAAAAGTTTTGGCAGTGATATAAATTTTGTTTTGCGCAAAGTTTGCTGCTTAAGCTGTTGTGTTCTTTCACATCGTTTCTAGATTATTGTGAAGAGTGATCAGATTCATTTTAAATAATTGCTAAAAGCTTCATTGGCCAAAAAAAAACAACAACAACAAATTTCACTGTTTTTTTTAATCCTGACACAAAATGACCAGCTAACATTAATTGACTAATCATATCAGCAGCACATGTGAAAGTGTGAATGAGTACTAGTCAGGTAAAATCACTATCGTACTAATTGGATTGTAAGAGCAGACTGATTGCTATAAAAGGAGGGAAGAAGCGCTTCCAATCGTGTTCTTGTTAGCAATGGTTACCTCCAAAGAAACACATGTAGCCATCATCGCTTTGCATCAAAATGGCCTCACATGAAGAATATTGCACCTGAAAGAACCATTTACCGGATCATCAAGAACTTCAAGGAGAGAGGTTCGACTGCAGTGAAGAAGTCTTCAGGACGTCCCAGAGTGTCCAGCAAGTGCCAGGACCGTCTCCTCCTGAGGAGTCAGCTACTGAATCGTGTCACCAGCAGTGCAGAGCTTGCTCAGGAATGGCAGCAGGTTGCTGTGAGAGCATCTGCACGCACAGCGAGGCCAAGGCTTTTGGACAACAGCCTGGGGCCTTATGTATAAAACTTTACATAGATTTCATCCTAAATGTGTGCGTACACACAATAGCTAGATTTTGCGTACGTACAAATATTTTCATATTTATAAAGCCATGAGTACGCCAAAACCTGTGCAAAATTCCCTTTGTAATACCCAGTCAGTGGAAGATTGTGCGTACATGAATCTCCACCCCGTCTCCTCCCCAAAATAGCCATTTTTTCAACGCCTAATTTTACTATGTACAATGTCATCTGCATATAATTTCCATGCATATTCCCATCCACGTGACACCATGTTTAACGCAGTTAAGGGTACAATATGTTAGGAAAATATGATAGACTATAAATGCGTTTTGAGACATCACTATTCTAATTTATGCAATTTGCCTAAAAGGTAAACATATTTTAGAATGTGTATAGCCTATATTTTTATGGAAAGAGATAGGCCTTATTTTTTTACAATGTAAATAACTGTCTGACTCTCCGCGTTAAAACATTTTGAAAATAAAACGCGCATATCTTACGGTTTCCTTCAAATTCTATCTTTTAAATATGTTGTTTGTCACAATATTGGGAAGAGCACGAAAGGGGTTAGCATTAGGCTGCTGTCTGTGCACGACACCTGTGAACAGAGGTTATACTGTCATCGGACCTTTTCAACCCAGCCAATGGACTGTTTGATCAACGAGCGCATCCTTGTCTGTCGTTACAGTCTATGTTCCAAAGCCATCAAACAAAGTCAAGTTCACAAAAATGATCATTATTATTCGCGCAAAAGCATTTTCTTAGAACATGAGTTTTGCTATTTAGAACACAATTTAAAGCGGAATTGTCATGCGCCAAGTAGAGGTCGACCGATTATCGGCCTGGCCAATTATTGCCGCCGATATTAAGCATTTTTAGGATTATCGTATCGGTCATGACTTTGGAATGATTTGGAATGCTGTGACTGTCTTCCCGGCTTTGTTTCTTTGTTAAATAAAGTCTTATTTTGACATTTGGAACTCTGCTTCTCCACTTCATTGGCCGCACCCAAGAAAAATCCACAACAATTTCAGCTTCTGTCGTATCACTACATGAGGACATAAATACATGAACAACATCTCCAGAACTGCTCTGACTCCCTCTAAGAGTCACTTCATGAGCATTTGACAGTTTCATGGAGTAAAACTATCTTCATATAATTTACATAGACCTACAGAAGTTTCTCATGGCAACCCGTCAAAATAGAAGTTCGGGTTAGCTTAAAGAAATGATCAGAAATATATTACTGTGGTGCAGTATGATGTAAATACTACTCAGGGACGAAAGTTTTCCGTCGCTACGACGGATTTCCGTCAATTGGAAAAAATGAGGGGAAAAGAAACATGTAGCACATTGTTGTTGTTCTGCCGGTGTTCTGGCGATTTGTTGGTAGCATAATCTGATAGGTAGCATTATATGTCAGAACACCAGCACACCAAAAATCCTCCCCGCCACGGCTGCAGCTTCTCACTTACAACATAATGCTCGCATCATTCACAGTCGGGTTATTAGCAGAGAAGGTAAAAAGAAAATGCCCCTGTAAATCACTTCACCTCATATTAGGAAGGCTAATTTTTGATCAGAATTTGAGATTATTGATCAGAAGGTGCTCCTTAATTTTTTTTTAATTAGGAGGACAAGCGCTCTTGATTACAAGAAGAAAAACATTACTCTTAAACTGAGTGTGTGACAGGTATGGCTGAGGAATGGGGTTTGGCCGAGGAAACATTTTCAGTCAAAAGATTTTTGTTTTAACCCCTGACTACTACAACAATTATTACAACTTTTGTTTAAAAGAATAAATCACACAATACGCTATTTCTTCCATGTTTTAATTTTAAATGGTAAACCCTTTGTTTGCCAAAAAATAAAGGTTTAACTCTTTAAAATAAAGAGTTTACTGTGGGAGTATTACACTCAACCAACACCAGGGAAGGTAGTTTTTGTCAGAGCCCTTGTTATTCTTAATTTTGACATTAATTTTCATTTTTACACCAGACATATATATCGGTTAAAAATATCGGTTCTCGGTCTACTTGATCTGTAATAATTGTTATCGGCATCGGCCTTGAAAAACACATATCGGTCGACCCCTAGCGCCAAGCAATCCTTGCTGTGATTAAAACATTAAATCGCATACCACAGGAAAATTGTTTGAAAGCAGCACATCTACTGCAAATATTTGTTTAAATTCATATAAAAAGAATTTAATTTCTGGATAATAATTTCATGAAATTTCAGTGCTTAACTTCATTATTCAGAGTGTCATATTTAATCTAAACATGTCAAATGTAAAACAGACTTTAAAATCATTCGGTTTGCTTCCTTATTGCAGTGTGCGCACACTACGGTGCGCACATATACTGCAAATATTTGTTTAAATTCATATAAAAAGAATTTAATTTCTGGATAATAATTTCATGAAATTTCAGTGCTTAACTTCATTATTCAGAGTGTCATATTTAATCTAAACATGTCAAATGTAAAACAGACTTTAAAATCATTCGGTTTGCTTCCTTATTGCAGTGTGCGCACACTACGGTGCGCACATATTTACGCCTAGTTTTTTTTTTTTTTTATAAATCCCGATATGTGCGTTCAACATTTATACATCAGGCCCCAGGTGTCAAGAAGGGCAGCAAAGAAGCCACTTCTCTCCAAGAAAAACGTCAAGGACAGACTGAAATTCAGCAGGAAGTACAAAGATTGGACAGCAGAAGACTGGTGCAAAGTTATTTTCTCTGATGAAGCTCCCTTCTGACTGTTTGGGACATCTGGAAAATCGATTGTTCGGAGAAGAAAAGGTGAACGCTACCATGAGTCCTGTGTTGTGCCAACAGTGAAGCATCCTGAGACCATCCATGTGTGGGGTTGCTTTTCAACCAAGGGAGTGGGCTCTCTCATAATTCTGCCGCAAAACACAATTTATGTCACTGCCAAAACTTTTGGCCATGACTGTACTATTTTTTTTATTTTACAGTGAAATATTACAATTAGGGCTGGGCGATATGGCCAAAAAATGATCACAATAAAATTTTACATATCATTCGATATTGATAATTATCATGATAAATTTCAAATCTTTATTTCTGTTAAGTTTAAAGGCAGATTTTTGCTCTTAAGTGAAAGTTGTAGAATCAGACTGTTAATTGTGGTTTTAAATTACTCTCAGAAGATGCAAACACTTCACACTTTTGAATTCTTTACACTTTTCCAGGTGTTTTTCCTAAACAAAATAAATATCTTAATAGAAGAATTAGTTTCTGCATGTTCTAATCAATGATATTGTTTAAAATCATGAAACTGGTTTTCAGGTGTTGCCTGACCTTGACACGTATCCTCAGCACAGTGTAGCGCCTGCGTAGGATCATGCATGAGCGTTGGACGGTTTATGGCTTAAAAGACCCTTTTAGCCTTTTGACATTTGCATATAAATTACAGTTCTGGTCAGAAACTTGACGTTCGTATAGATAGTATGCAAGTAAATCAAATCAATCTCAGTCTGTTTTGAATGCAAACAGTTCAAGAGAGGTTTTTCAATACCTTTAAAAAGCAGATTTGCTTTAGGTACATCCAACTGATAACCAAACGACACGCTTGTGTCCTGCATCCGTGTGCTGGCCTCAAACTCTACCCCAATCTGGAGCTGTAGGAGGTGTTTAAATTCATAGTAGTGAGTTTAACATACTAAGGGTGTTACCTTGAGTAACCAATCTGTCATTTAATACATCTCTTTACTGTATGAAGTACCTGGTCATTGGCTTTGTGGTAATATGATGCATGTGCACCAGCTCCTCCAACAGTCAACGTGGCGACATAGTTACTACCTGAAGATGAAAACATACAGGTCCCATCAGTACATTCAATCAAATTATGATTTGCCAAACCTTAAACAAAATGTGACAAAGAATGATCTGCAAAGGACCACCTGTGTATCTGCCCACAAATGATGTGACGGTGCCCTCTTCTCCTGGCCTCCTGTGATAGACCAGTTCACCACCCAATACCAAAGCGGGAGACAAGGACTGGAGGTAGTGCGCCACAAGGATACCTAACAGACCAAACGTGAATGTAAGCTCCTACAGAAGACAGATTATCAGTAAATAATTCACATTTCTGTCTATTCCTCATCAAACTATTAAAGGGTTTGGGGTCAGTAAGATTTTTTGAAAAGAACATACTTTTATTAAGCAAGGATGCATTATATCAAGCGAAAAGTGAAGTGACGTGTGGCCAAGTATGGTGACCCATAATTTGTGCTCTGAATTTGTGCAGTTGGGGTTCGGTGCCTTGCTCAAGGGTCTCACCTCAGTCGTGGTATTGAGGGTGGAAGAGAGTGTCATTCACTCCCCCCACCTACAATCCCTGCCGGACCAGAGACTTGAACCTGCAACCTTCGGGTTACAAGTCCGACTCTTTAACCATTAGGCCAAGACTGAAACAAATCAGCATATTAGAATGATTTCTGAAGGATCGTGTGAAACTGAAGACTTGAGTAATTGCTGCTGAAAATTCAGCTTTGCCATCACAGGAATAAATTACACTTTAAAATATATTCAAGCAGAAAACGGTTATTTTAAACTGTTATAAAATTTCACAATATTACTGTTTTTACTGCATTTCTGATTAAATAAATGAGCTTAAGTGAAAACATTACAAAAATCCTATGACCCCAAACTTTTGAATGGTAGTGTATATTAGGAATATAGCATAAATAAAAAAACCATTAAAATCTTATTGTATAGTATTTTTGGAACTTGACAGTCATGGACAACAGCAACTGCAAGGTATGTTACCAGATCCAGCGAGAACATCTGGATTGCCAATGGTAACAGCAGCTGTGAAGTCATCACCACGGTATTCGGCATCACACTGCCAGTTTACAAACTTGTGTTGCTGCGTCTGTAAGACGTAATTTATTCAGGCAATTAATAACAGTACACTATGCAGCAATGCACCTAATTTACACAACATCAGATTTCTGGATAAAGCTGCCATTTTAAAGGGCACCTATTATGCCTCTTTTTAAAAGATGTAATATTGGTCTTGGGTGTTCCCAGAATGTGTCTGAAGTTTCAGCTAAAAATACCCCACAGATCATTTATTATAACATGTTGAATATGACATTTTTGGGGCGTGTCTAAAAAAAAAAAAAAAAGCTTTTTTTGTGTGCATCACTTTAAAAGCAAATGAGCTGCATATTCCTGCCCCGTCTTCAGAAGAGGGCATGGCTTATACATCTCTGCTTTGCATACCTACAAACAGCTGGTAGAAGCAACATGAATGACAGCGAGATAACCGGTGTACAGACGTACATGTTTGAACTGGAGTCAGACACCGATGAAGGAGAAACTCTGGCAGAAGAAACACCTATGAGAATGAACCAGGACGTTTCTGAATGGTTATTTGATACATTTATGTACTTGTAGAGTTTTCACATCCCATTTGCAAAGACGGATGAGCGACAGACATGCATACAAATACTTTGATAACGTTCGCTATGCGCTTCAATGAAATGACACACTCACACAAATACGGTTAAAACATTAGCTAAGCACTATAACGACATGACATTTATGTGAGGGATACTGTCGCGTCCTGTTCAAATATTACTTCTCGTACAGGTGCTCATGTGGCAAATGTATTGCCCCTCGTTCACAAAGCAGTCTGTGGTGAAATGATTTGTGCAGACAAACGCATTTTGGAACATTTTGAGGTGCATTAACTTCAAAAAATAAAAGAAATCCACTGCATCCTCAGTGGCTCAGATGTTGGGAGCACGAAGACTTTTATGCTCAGTCTTACATCCAAACACAGAACACCGGGATTGTTTAGGAGACATTGTTGCCGTTACAGCTGCTCAAGCGCAGAGAAAATGGAGGACAGCGTACAATCAAACAACTCGCTGAGGGCGGAAACTATGGTAATGCAGGACTGTCAGTCAACGGCCATGGGCATTGTGACGTCACAATGCTAAGAGCATCAAAACGGCATGCCTAATGAGACTAGTTTAGTTTAATGGGGATCAAAAAGTAAGGAGTGGGTGGATTTTTATCATTGCAGGGTGGTTGTGTTCACACACTGATAACACACATTTATGTCCAAACACCATGCAAAAGTGGAATTTGCACAATAGGTGCCCTTTAAAAAGCATTAGATCATTTGATTGGGATTAACTTCTTAGAGTGTTAGTTCACCCCAAAATGAAAATTGTCATTAATTACTCACCCTCATATCGTTCCAAACCCGTAAGACCTTCGTTCATCTTCGGAACACAAATTAAGATATTTTTGATGAAATCGGAGAGCACTCTGACCCTCCATAGACAGCAACGCAACTGTAATGTTCCCAGGTCCAGAAACGTAGTAAGCACATCGGTACAACAGTCCATGTGACATCAGTGGCTCAATTTTGTGATGCTACGAGAATACTTTTTGTGCACAAAGAAAACAAAAATAATGACTTAATTCAACAATTCTTCTACCCCGAGTTACGTCTTCTGCCATTTTAGAGAGTATCACAACGCATACGCATGCTTTCCCCTAAGTGTAAACAACGCTGATTACGCAGATTACGTTCATGCGCGCGCTTTCTCCCCCGAACGTAAACAACGCTGATTACGTCAATTACATACTTGGGGAACTCTCCAAAATGGCGGAAGACGTAACTTGGGGGAGAAGAATTGTTGAATAAATTTTGTTGTTTTTGTTTTCTTTCCCGCACAAAGTATATTCTCGTAGAATATACTTCAGTTCTTCACAAAACTGAAGTTGAGCCACTGATGTCACATGGACTGTTGTACCGATGTGCTTACTACATTTCTGGACCTGGGAACATTTCAGTTGCGTTGCTGTCTATGGAGGGTCTGAGAGCTCTCATATTTCATCAAAAATATCTTAATTTGTGTTCCGAAGATGAACGAAGGTCTTACGAGTTTGGAACGACATGAGGGTGAGTAATTAATGAAAACTTAAATTTTTGGGTGAACTATCCCTTTAAGCCTCATAAAAGTATTTTTTTCTTCTCACCATATTTTTCTGAAATGATTTTGCTCACAATACGAGACAAATCAGTTTAGCTCATAACTGATCCAGCTTACATTAATTGTACAATACATCTGTCACATAAAAACTATGTCATGTGTAGGATCTGCTGATTCCCTTTCATAGTTTGTGAACATGACTGTAAAGTCATACGTACCTGCATTGCCACTTTAGAGCGAATGCGGCTGGCAAGTTGATGGATGATCTGTGCGTTTAGACTGCCCGTGTTGTCCATGTCACCTACCATGACCGGAAAAGACTGAGGGGGACAGATTTAAAAAATTTAAAAAAAAAAAAGAGAGAGAGAGAGGCATCTCATCATTTCATTCTGAAACAATATTGGTATAGTAAGTTGACAGAAAAAAGGGTAAGAGTGGTGCCATTGTATACAAATGTATGGGTGTCACAGGATTATCTTTACTAACTGCCATTTAGATTTCCTTTTTTTTTTCATAATTATAGGACCACAGTAATTAAAAAATTTTTTTTAATGTCTTGTGATTTAATCGCTTCAAAGAGAATATTATAAATTAAAAACCGTTTCGGAGATTGTTTCTGTGATTTTAGTATCATTGAAATACTATTATAACTTATTAATATTTTGACAGTTATTTTTATATTTTGTCAGTTTTTATATCATAATCATTGAGATACTATTATAGTTTTTATTAATATTTTGAATACGTTTGTATCTTCTGTTTTCTGTATAGCAAACTGACAGAAAAACACTAGTCAGTTAAAAAGCAACTAAAAACCTCACCTCTGCAGGTCCTGTTTGCTTGCTGCCCACGTATGTAGCTCCAAATCTGTAACCTGAGTCCCCCAAGGTGCTTAGAGTAATTGTGTGACTAACCTGAGGACGCAAATGAAGAAGTGATATATAGTTTTGTCCTTTGATCTTTCACTTCTAAAATAAAACAGAAAAATAGAATAGAATTGTGTGATAACTGACCTGGAAGTGATTACTCAAGCCCTTGTTGACAACCAATCGTACCCCCTCCATCTGCACAGGGAAGACCTCTGAGAAGCAGACAAAAAGACTAAGTAAACAGAATATAATATAGATTATATAACTGCAGAGGGTATGACAGAAAATGAGCCTAAGACAAACCTTTGCATTTGCGATGACACTCCTCAAATGTACCGGGGTTGTGGAGAGAGGACTCTGCATCTGTCCCGGGCTGCCCTTGTGTGCCTGAGGAGGGTGGGACTGCAGACACTGGGGGCATGGTGAAACCTGGGGGTACCGTCACTAGACCTGCACCCCCTGGGGCACTGCCACCCCCTGAGGCTGGGGGTGGGTTTGGGAAGCTGGCAGCCAAAACACTGCCCATGCTTAAGAAAAATAGAACAGTACAATAACATTAAATGTTATCATTAACTTCCACTGACAAGAACCATAGGACAAAAGGTCACGTTACTACAGTAAAAGACTGGCAGTAAACAACATATTTCTGGTTCCAAAACCTGCCAACTGTCAAAACCAAATGAAAACCTTAGATCTCTCCAGGTTTACACAGTTGACGACTAACGTTAGTTTAGCTGTGACTCTCTTGGCTTGAAAGCCAGTTCTGTGCGCATAGCAACTAGAATCTGGCTCATTAGAGAAAAGTAGTGCACTAGGCATGTGGAGCTTCATTCACGCCTCATTGGCTAAATAGCAGGTAAGCTAAGGTTAATGCTAGCTAACATGCTGTGTTGTGGAATAAAGAGTGACACATATCTGAGTGAGACGCGAGAAAGAGGTTGTATTACATACTAGCTGAACAGTCCTTTCCATCAATATACGGCGGACTAATTAATAGCAAGTGAATGAATACAATTTATGTAAGTATTTGCAGGCCTCGTGCTATACTCACGTTTAGCAATGCAGTCGTTAAACGGCTGAGGCACCGGTAGGATGTAAGGGCCAACTTACGTACCCGACGTCTTGGCCCGCCCATTCCGGCGGTATTAAGAGATGATTGGATAAAAGACACCACATCTGCCTGATAATTGGATACTGAGTATGGCGTCCTCGTGAGGTCACAGGGGAAAGAAACGCGAGGGTTCGTGACGCGTGTTCTCCACTCCTCCAAAGGGTATGAGCTAGACATGTACATTTGCATTTGTTCTTTATTCATGCATGTTTTCGTTGTGTTACTTTAACATTACAATTAATAAATAGCCGACAAGATGTTAACAGAGCAGTTATTTCCTAAAAAAAACCCCGTTATTTTTAAATAACTTTTTATTTTAGTATCACTGAGATACTATTGTAGTTTTTTACTCATATTTTGATTATATATTTTCAGTTTTTAATGTAATTTTTTACATTTTAGTTTTTGTTCATTTGTCTATATAGTTTGTAGCAATTATGAACTAAAGTTAAACTAAATGAAAAGGAAATGTGAACTAGATTTTTTTTCCAGCTAATGCAAAATTATGAGAAATATAGAATTATATATTGAACATTTTTATATTCAAATATTTTAACCATAAACTTTAATTTCTCTATAACGGAAGACCTATATATCTTACATATGCTTTTAATGCAAACACGATTTCTTGAACCCCCCCCCCCCCCCCCTCTCCTCAGCAACCTAACCCCCTCTT